GTTTTAAAAGAATCCCACTTAATTGAAGTTTCTATGCTTCTGAGGAAATCCTTTGGTCCTAGSATTTCTCCATGGGAAACAGAAAATGTCTTAAGGTAGGTTGGCAGCTTAGACAGATACTTGTTCTGTGAGTATCTTCTCCTGTGTCCAGCATCTGTCTCCTGTTCCCTTTCCTAGAATTTTTTCCTCTCTGTGACTGGATCTGCCCTAGACATTGAATTTTTTCCTTTTGTTTTCCTTATTGTTTCATCTGCCCTGCTATTTAGATTTCCATTTGAATTGCACAGAATGTCCTGTTCCTCAGTGCTGAACTTAGAAATAAACASGTTCCTTTGGCAGTTCTGAGATCTCTTCCTGAAGTGAAGGAGATATGCCTCATGGAAATGACCTCATCAGGATGCCTTGCTCGGGGAAGTGTGGGGTGCTGTCCTCCCATGGTGTACTTTGTGTCCTGCTCATTGTGTTTCATGAGCTCCCTGTCAGGTTATGAGCTCAGGGAGGCAGGAACTTTAGTAGTATCTAAATGAGGGCTTATTAGTTGTGTTTTGAATTAAGTAAACAAATCCATTTCAGTATTGAAACCTGCAGGAATTGTGTGGTAATCTCAAACTTAGATAAATGTTACTGATCTGTTAACCACAGGGGAAAAAARGGGGAGACATAAAATCTTTCTTTTGAACCAGCTTTTTATAATCTACATTAGCTATGCTGTCTCAGCACTCAGTTTTACATCTCCAAACTAGATGCCATAATTCTTTACATCAGAGTTGAAATCTTTGGCTTGTGTGACTTCCAGTTCTTCATATCCAGAGTAATTAATAAGCTAAATAATTTTTCTTTGTAGCATAGCCTAGCTCTGTTTATATTGGATCCTAATTATCATTCTGGTTTTTTAAARAAAGTATTAATTTCATGCAGATTCTAGGAGCCTCCACCATCACTGATGCTTTCAAGGGAAGGGTAGTGCAAAGGATGGAGCCCCAGGAGCCCAGCAAACCCTTCCAGGAGTGGGCTAATTCACCTTTCTCTCCTACCCCTTCTAGTCACTCCTTGTCTGCACCTGTGTGGGTGGCTTCCTCATATCCAAGAGAAGGATGTTGGATTAGATAGTATATTAGGACCTCTTTAGTCCTAATATCCTATGGCTGACATATGCCACTAGAAGGTCTATTTTAGAAAAGGAAGATGGGAAACCAAGGTAGTTTTTAAAGTCCTGTCTATAAAAGAGGTTAGCTGAAATAGCTTTTAGATGATAACAAATCCTTATTAATAATTAAGAACTAGATTTTTTTCCAAAAASTTGTATTTTTWWAAAAATTTTTATTTGTTTTAATAAGTTACACATGACAGTAGAATGCACTTACATACTTTGATATATCATACATAGATGGGATATATTTCTTCATTTTTCTGAGTATACATATTGTAGAATCACATTAGTAATACAGTCACCTACATACATACAGTAATAATGTCTTTTTCATTCTACTATCTCTCTTATCCCTGCATCCCCTGTCTTCCCCTCCTTTCACTTCCCTCTACCTAAATCTAAGGTAATGCTATTCTTTTTTTTTTTGCATTACAATTCTTAATATACATATATACCACAATTTTATATGTTTATATATGAATTATGTTGCCACCCAATTCAAGCYTTATTTTTAAGACTAAAAAAAATTTATTCTGTGATATTGTGGTAAAGGAGTGTTTCTTAGTAACTTAAGTGAAATTTTGTTTGTCCCTCAGATTGCAAACACTGCCACTTACTTCTAGCTTTCCATTTTATTTAGAGAAGACTTTTAATGCCATTTTAGTAGTGCTTTTGATGATTTTAGATAGCTTATTTTTAAAGCCATTTGTACATTTTTTTGTTTGTTATTATGTACTGTTGTTATAGCCAATTAAAAAATCCTCTTAACAAACTATTGTAGATTGGATCAAAGGATATCACTGTTATTCTTCTCCCAAGAAGGAGAAGACTTATGAGCCACATCAATTTATTGCTTGTTTCTCTAATGAAGCAATATATGACTATTAGTCCACTAAATTATGTAGGAACTCTGAAAACTCCAGAGATTTTGATGAGTATATTTCTCGAAACCAAAAATATTAAGGTCCTAAAAATGATTAAAGCCAAACTCTTAATAATGAGTTTTGATGTATTGCTTATAGAAAATAAAATAGCTAAAGCATTTTGAATTTCAGAGCTGATTAATGGCCTCAAATGGTTTCAAATGTATTTCAAGGACAAATATAGGTTTGAGTAATTTTGTCTGTAATGAACTAGCTTCTTGCCAGTTCCAACTTCGAATTATTAAGAGAGAGAGAATTAGCCCAGCTAGGGTAACCTTATCCTGAAGTGTTTTATAATGATCTAATCCAGGTAGTAGGTTGGAGAAATGGGCCACCTAGTCAGAACATGGATATTAGGAGTTTTTCTCTGTGTAACGACTGGTAGTTCATTTGAGGCTTGGAAGACTCAAAAAGGAAATCAGTCAAAGAATGCATGTGTGGAAAGGTCTTTCAGACTGCAGACATTGTCTTGCAAAGGCCCTGWAAGAGGAACTACAAAGTAACAGAAGAAAGTAATACCTGATTTGGTCTGAGAGCCCTATGTTTCAGATCAGATTATGCAAGCCCAGTTGCTTTGAAGGAAATAGGATAGAATATAGGAATTAATTTGGTTGAAAATCAGTCAATGCCTAAGAGATTCTGTAACAGATTTGGATACCTTAACCTTAAGTATTTTATAATAGTCTTCTTGAACTTCTGGTTTTTGCTATTCTAATTGGAACTAGTTAGAGTTCATGGAAATGGCCTGATTCATCCCTGAGGTTGATCTTTGTAGGTAATGTACAAAGAGAATTGCATATACTTTTATAATATTTCTATTTGTATACTATGGTTTTATTTCTGTTTGTTGTTAAACTTTTTAGGTAAAACTTTCAGTCTGAACTATCGAAGGATCTGTTTTTTATCCCTTTCTCTTGTGTTTGAATAATGTTTAATCTTCTCAATAGTATCCTTATGAGAAACTCTAGTGTTTCTTAAGGGAAACAGTTCCTTGAGGCACATATTTTTGGAGGCAGGACCTGGTTTAGGAAGGCTAAGGTAACCTAAAGTGGGTCCCATAATTGGGAGACATAAAGTCTCTTTTGCATAAAACTATTGTTAGAATCCTCTGAGAAAGGCTAGATGTCATCTATAAAATTTGCTGGAAACTCTTTTAGATCTGTGGCCAATGTGGAGTGTTTCCACATCCATTTAGTCAATGGGAAATCACCACAGCAATGTCATTATACTTCCTGTTCYTGGCTACATGCTTAGTAGAATAGTAATGGATTAGTTTAAGAAAAACATGTACATATGTATACATGCACAAACATTCACACACACTTGTACACAAATGTTCCTAAGTTAGAACCCAGCTGTTCCAGCCACACCATCATTTTTCTTTTGTTAAGATTCATGTGTGGGTATTTACATGGAGTTAGGTAGAAAGTARTCATGTTACCTCATCAGCAGGCACATTCTTCTATCACTCTGGTTTGTGCATGTTGGTCTGACCTGAGGTATGGCCTGTGCACCTTGCACTCTGGTACCTACCTCCCTATCCTGTGACAGTAGGGGGCTAATTCACCTGATCATCTACAGATGATCCTTCTGACGCCTAGCTGTAGACACCGTCTGTCTCTTAGTCTATTTCTTTAACATAACCAACTGCATCCTTAGACCAGTTTTGGCTTTTGTATCTCAAATATCTTTGAGATAGGAAGGTAAATGGCAGTCATTCCAGAGAGTATAGGATTTTTTCCCTCCCAATGCTAGAGTCTGAACTCAGGGTCTGTACATGCCTAGATAAGTGTCTATCGCTGAGTTTACAAATGCCCCAGCCCCAGAGAATAGGRTTCCTAAGGAAAAGACAAGTGTTACCTTGGGAATCTAAGAATTGCATATGAAGGACTGGAAAACAATTCCTGGGCTCTCTGGCAGATTAGCCAGAACACTTCTGAATACTAAAGGGAAACTACTTTTGGGATATGGACTGCAGGGGAAAAACAAACAAAATAAACTTTCCTCAGATGATAAGCTAGATTTGCACCGTAGGGTTTTAGAATACCCTAAGGTAGTCACCTAAAATGTCGTCTCCTTACCGGAAACCTGATCTTTATATCCTTTATAGTGAACTACTCATAAAGTGTTATACACTCCAAAAGCTTGTCTTCAAGAACAAAAATGCAAAATTCAATGATATTAGATTTACTGTAATGGAGCTCTACTGCATCCCTGGGGCTAAAAGCCTGTTTAACAAACACTGAGRCTTGGGGGTGCTGGCAGCTGAGTCACTTAGTACAGCCAGGTTGTGCAGACAGCAGGGTGAGAAGCAGTCTTGTTAAGGGAGCAGTGTTTATTACTACTGAGTTTTTTATCCGTCTCCCKGGGATAGGGGGTGCTGCAGGATGCTCCAGGAAGCCTGTTAGATGGTCAATCCTGTTCATCAGCGCACAGCATAGAGAGAGTCAGTTTCCATAATAAAGAACACTTCTGATATACATCATCTGTCATGTATGTTAATGCTGTTATGGATATTGTTGTTATTTCAYTAATATAATATGAACCTTTATGGGTCCAGTGGTTAGAAATAAATGTCCTATTACTTGTTAATTAATCATCTTAAAGTATTTGGTGCATATAAGTTTTATTCGATTTACTAATTAATAAATTTTTTTTTCAGTTAATGGAGATCATTTGCCCTTTAATTGATTTTATTGTTGGTTATTTTGGGTGCTGTTGTTTAATTGGATTTATATTTCCTTCTGTCAGCCACGTTCAGATCTGCATTCATGCAGGTTCCTTATTCCTATATTTGTTGAGTGAGCAACTGGGTATATTGGTTGGTGGATGGATGGGTCCACAACATTGAGGCCCAGTCCTTAGCAACCTGCCAGGGGTTGGCATGCAGGCATGTAACATTTCTGTTGCATCTTTTGTTTTCACAGTGAGAGAAAAACGCAAGAGTCTCTTCATTAACCATGTAAGTGAAGTTGTCTCCCTATGTTTTTCATAATGACTGTATGGTATAAAGAGCTTAAATAACTATGTGTTTGATGGGTGAAAATGCTTCTTGTATTGTCAATACTTAAAAAAAATGTGGAAAATGTTACAGTGCTCAGTTTTGTGTATAATTGGACAAGCTTCAGTTGGCATTTATACACTGTCCCAAATGTTTTTCCAGATTCCCTAAGCTATGTTGTTAATGATAAGAGATGTGTGAATGATGCCATAGTAAAAACCACAGGTCCAAGTGAAAGGCACTTCTTTTTAGTTTCTAATCCTTAATTTTCTTTACACTCCCAAAGTACTGTTTCTTTGTAGCTCAGTTCCAATTGAAAGAACACATACTTGTTTTTCATAAGCTATCTGCCTCTCATTTTCACTTTTTGTTGACACAATAAAGTGCATTTTTGGGGTGTCCAAAGAAAGGAGAAACATTTTTTTAATACTTTATTATTTTAAAAGTTTTCAAAACTTCACCTCTGGTCCTTTGATTATTCTAAGCAGAATACCCCTCCCTTGGTGGCCAGGTGGAAAGTGTTCCACTGAGATACTTTGTCACCAGTCCACCCACCTTGAGCAGCAGCAGGTGCAGCTGGCTGTATCCAGCCTCCAGTTCCCACCCCATGCTTCATGACAAGCTTGTCACCAGGAAAGTTATAACCACTCCTCCTCTCCTTCTCAGGAAGTGTCTCTTCCTTTAGGAAAGAAAACTATCACAAGGTATGGTATGATGAAATAGGTAAATTATCAAAATAAGAGTGCTATAAATCCTCATAATGAAAATAAGAATGATGTATTTGACCTCACAGAGATCTTTCCCAGGATTCTTAGTCTGTCTGCATTTAAATATTTGTAGATCATAAAATATTTAGCACTAAAGCTGTGTATTCATGAGACTTAGAACCATAATATTGTATTTCTTGCCCCTTGAAAATCTGGACAAAATGCAGTGAGAAAGATTCATTGGTTGGGCACCACATAGGGATCTTAGGCAATCCTTAGGAGAGTGRTTCCTCTGTGGACGGTGTCAATAAATATATGAACATACATACTTCTTTAGGTGTCAGAGGGCCTATAGCTTTTATCAGATCCTTAAAGCAATTCATGACCTCTTCAAATTTTGAAGCATCAGTATAAAGCATCTGTAAAATCATAATATGTCACAAAGAAAAGATGATGTAATTGCCATGCCTTTTCTTCTGAAAGCAGTGCATGCATGAATATAGAAATGTGAGTGACTGAAACTAATTCTCTAAGTTCTTGCTTCCAATTTTTTACCTGACGAGTGATTTGTCTTCTTTCCCTTCCATTAGCATGTTTGCTAAGGAGTTTGCAGGGGAAGGAAGAGCTGAAAAAGCAGCCAGTCCACCTTTGYAGTTCACTACAGCTCCATTAAGGGTGTAGTGAGGAAAGAGAACAGGAGTTTGTCCATGCCACTCTGCTGTGATTGTAGCTAATGAGACAGAGGTGTGCTCTCATAGTTCTGACTTGCACATTTATTTCATATGCTGTCTCACTTAACCTCACACTTTGTGCCCTGCACAGTCCTGGCACCTGCCACACACTGAGTCAATTTCCATGGACCAGCATATGGATTAGGGTGGAGTAGGCTATGCATTCTAACTTTAGGTATCCACTGCAACTCAGCCCACTCTTCAAACTCTGTAAAACCTCTCATCTACTGACACAAAGAGTGAAATCACACAGGTGCTGAGATCTCTCACATGAACTTGTTCCTGTATAGAAGAAAGCTCTGTGCTGAATGTCTTATGTAACAGATGACCCTGGAACAGCGTGACCCTCCAATCCCTGAACAGACCTAGCTGCAAATGAGCACGTATGCCCTGCCACTGCTGGGAAAAGCCACTRGAGTGTGTTGTTCCAACCCATTGAAATACAGTTTGAGTGAAATTACCTGCAGATTCAATTAGGCTAATAAACTAACTGTGCTTTTCAGGTTTTGTGACTTGGGTCTAATAAATTAGAACAGTAGAAAAAAGATAAGGGATAGCAGTAATCAGTGCTTTACTGATTGGGTGCCAGGCTCTGTTCTGATTGGTTTAATGCACTCACTAATTACTTAGCATAGTAACCAGGCTGGGTTTATGTGTGTATCCTTCCCACTTTACTGATACAGAAACTGAGGTGCAAAGAAGTTAGCCAAATAACAGTGGAGCCAGGATTGGAACTTAGCAGCATTCATCTGTACATTTCTCAGATAGTAAGACCAGTTCCCATTGGGACAGGGGTTAATTTGCTTATCTGAAGTTAGATAGTATAATCTTAATTAAATTTTTATAGGGCAGTCTATAGGATTCATTTCTGAATAAAGATCCTTAGTAATTAAAATTATAATTTTAATTTCTTGTTTAACTCTAGAACAATAGATTCTTTGTTTTTGACCATATTTTATTTAATGTGAGAGATTTTGTTTATTTTCATCTTCATGTTTCTGAATAGCCTACTTAGTACCTGTTGCTTAGGTAATCTATAAGAAGCTGATATTGAAGAGAAGTGGAAGAARTGGATATACATAAGCCAAGTAAGAGAAGTAGGGGTGGTTCAGCTGTACCCCTAGGATAAATGGTAACTACAGGGGAAATGAAAGTTTTTCTGGCTCTCTGCAAACACATATTAGCAAGTGAAAAGAATAAACTTAGACCCAGAACCTTCTTGGGGGTGGGTGGGGACAGTAGAGGATAGAACCCCAGGCAGGCAGGTTAAGGGGGTAGGCCTTTGACTGGCTCCAAAAAAAAAAAAAAAAAAAAGAGAGAGAGAGAGAGAGAGAGAAACCACCCTGGTGTCTTTAAGGGATTAAGTAAAAGGTGGCAGCTTCTGAAAGATCTGAGAATTTTGACAGCAAGTTAAATCAGGGTGATTTATAAAGATTAATAGTCTAATCAGCACCTAAGTTTTAGGTGTAATTAGAATGAATAGTTTTAGAAAAATTTTAATGCATTATGAAAGGCATTTTTTAAATGCTTGTAACAAACTTTATTTAAAGTTTATGCTTTAATTTTGCTGACATTTGGCTTTGATTTTTTTTTAATGTCTTACGTGTGAAAATCTCTATTAAGTTGTAGATGACTTTGTAAGTAGCAGTAGTCTAGAATTACCCCTGAAACTTAGGAGAAACTCATGCCTTTTACCTTAGCCTAATTCTTCTGTGACATTTTCCTGCCACATGGTGACAGCATACCTAAAGTCATATGATCAAAGAAGTTAAAAAAAAAAAAGGATATTCAAATAAAATGAACTTGGAGTTCAGTAGCTAACCTCCCTTATTTCTCTTCTGCTGTTGATACATTTTGAATGAGAAAGCCCAAATGGCGTGCTACTTAGGGTCACCCATACTTACGAAAAAAATTCAAAGCATGTGTCTCAGCATTGAGACAGGTGATTGTTCTATAAGCTTGGTGAGGAAATAAAGCAATTATTTATGCAAGAATCACATTGTTAGTTGAGTGTAATGGAACTACAGTAAGTGTAAAGGAACTTTTCTCAGACTCTAATTCTGCCACTTGATAACTGGGTGACCTTAGAAATGTCTTCAAGTTTCAGTTCTCTTCTCTCCCTGATGGATCACAACTCTTTGGCCTGCTTGACTCAAATGAAGGGAAGGTAATTTRTAAACTGATTTTAGTACCAGATACATATGTTCATGTTATTATCCATTGGAGATTAGGTAAATTTAGTTTAAGTTTTTCAAAACTGATAAAGTCTTTTTTGTATTTTGAGTATAGTTGTAGTCCCTACCCCACCACTTACTAAGACCTGGACTCCCAAGGGGGGTATATTCTGTTCAATTCCTTTTGGGAATACTGACTTAGTTTGCACCTCTTTACTAGTTCAATTYTGAACTGATTTTTGCCTTTTAGTTTTGAGTGGTATAGAAATAGAAGTCCTTATAAAATGGTGTGTACTCTGATTATACTCTAATTTGTAAGTTATAGAAGTTAAGGAATGAAGTGAGAAATGGAGCTGAAGAGGTCCATATCGGATACTGGGGATTGAGTATCCCCAGTGCTCAGAGGGACTTTGCCATTGAGCTACATCCTCATCCTTTTATTTTATTTTGAGGCAGGGTCTTGCTAAATTGCTGAGGCWGACCTTGAACCTGCTGTCCTTCTGTCTCAGCCTCCTGAGTCTCTGGGATTAGAGGCATGTCCATTGCATCTGGCCAGAAACTGATATTTAAAAAATTTCTAAACCTTGCTTTTGTCTCTGGAAGATTTGCTCTTTTGGGTGGGGTAGGGTAGAGGGATGCTAAGAATTGAACCCAGTGGTGTTCTACCACTGAGTTTCACCCCCAGACCTTTTTATTTTGAGAGGGTTGCTGAGGCTGGCCTTGAACTTGTGATTCTTCCGCCTAGGCCTCCCAAATAGCTGGTTTCAGGCGTGAACCACCAGAGTTGTGCTCTTATGAAAAAGTTTATTAAGCAGCTACTATGCTCCATTAATATAGTATACTTGGAGGATGTGAAAGTAAGATTAGAATTTCATAAAATTTAAAAAATCCATTAAGATAAGGAAATTTAACTTTCTTCTTGAAATAATTTCAAGTTGATAGAAAAATTGCAGTAATAATATAGAGTACAAAATTTTCACATGTTACTATAGGAACCTTAGATACTTAGTCTCAGACCTGTCAGTCTACTTCAGGATATTGAAAGGTGATAGATGTTTTGTTCTTTTCTCTCTTATTCCTCCTTCTCCTTCACAGAATTTCTAAAAATGAAAATGCTATACACATGAAAGTGCTGGGGCAGATGAGAAGTTTGTATAGGATGTGAGYCCCTTGAGTGTATTGGTTATACCTGTAAAAAGATTCTCCTTTTTTCTGTTTTTCTTTTCCTGCCTGTGATAGAACCCAGGGCCTCAYACCTGCTAGGCAAACATTCTACTGCCGGGCTACATCTACTATCCTTTTTGACAGAGTCTCACTAAGTTGCCCAGGCTGATCTAGMATTTGGTATC